CAGGTCAGAGCAGAGAGAGGTTTTGACTCAACATCTACTACCATTTACTCAACTCGTAAATGGTAGGCAGTGAAGTTTGGAGTTACAAATACCTAAATGGATATAAAGAAAATGCAAGACTCAAACAGGTGCAAGATATGAGATTGGACGTTATCTTGGCCTCTGTGTTGTTTCAAAGACGCAGTTAGAACTTGAATAGCAGTAGCATTACATACCTGTGGATGTAGTACATATCCAGTGTATCCAACAGACAGAGATGAGACATGTGTTGAAAACCAGGAACAACTCCAGTTGTTCCCAGTATATATAATTGTAAACTTAGATTGAGCATGTTGCAGCCCCCTCAAGTGAATGCAAAAAGTAATTTAGGATCAGTTGCATAAACACTTCAAGCAAGCCTCAGATTTTAAGATAACTGAGATCAAAAACTGCTGAGCTGGTAACTGTTGCCGTTCATCTGGTTACTTTTGGCTGATCATTGTTTATAGACATTGATCTGGCTCAGACCTATGTACTAGCATTTGACTTCAACCCATACAGCCTGTTATGCCAACAAATCTGGGAAAAAAGCTTTTGAGTTTGTGCTTTGGGGATGACATTTTTTATTAGCTACTTACATTCTTTCATTGAAGACAGCCCTCAGGAGTTTCTGTTAATTGGGTTTCAAATATGGTCCTTTAATTGTTCAAACAATGAACTTAGATTTGACTACACTGGCTAATTTTTAATTAAAATAAGTTTACTAAAATAACTGTGAAAGATTAAAATTTAGACAGAATCATATACTGCTTAATCCCACTCCTGCTCTGTAATATTCTTTTCACAGCTGGAACCTAGAATCCCCGAAGAGCCTCACTGACTCCAAGGGACTAGTTGTCTAGGAACTCATTACAGAAATCGGGCCTTAAAGAATAGGATGTAATTTGACTTTAAAGTGCTATAGGTTAAAATTCAATATCTATTTTAACTGATTTTTTTTCCTGTACAGATGAAATCTTTTAGGTGAGAATGAAAAATCATTTAGTATTTCCTGTATTGAATAGGGATGCTGCTTGCACTTCAAACATCCCCGTTTTTTCTCTTTTCCTTCTAGTTCAGTCACCTTGCCACCTATAATTCTTGAATGCAAGAGTTCCTGCAGTGCCATAGTAACGCTCTGTATTTGTTCCTGCTGTCTTTGCTTTACTGGGTCTTTCTCTATTGCTTTCCATTTTGTAAAAGTAGTACAAAAATCCTTCTTTTAGTGGCATCTTTCTTAGTATATTGGCTCTATTGCATCTAGTTTGTTGATTAATTTCATAGCTACTGAACATCAGCACCCAGTGCTCACTGTAATGATAGTATAGGAAGTAGATACAACACTAGTACTTAGGGTAGGATTTCAGCATTGCTCTAGGAATTAGGCTACTTCTTAAAAAGCTACAAGAAGAAATACGGAATTCTTTTTGCTTCTTTCTATTGTCAAAAGCAATTCTGTTGTCAAAAGGTGGTTTGTAGTGGTTTATGATTCTTATGAAATGTGAATGTTTATGAAAAGCAGTCACGTGAGGGAGTGTTGATACTGTCTTGCAATTTACTCCTTAAGAAAATGTCATTGTGTAAATATTCCATCTTATATTAAATTGTCTTTCCTAACTATTATATTATAATAACATAGCACCAGGAGGAACAGTGCTCTAGCTGGAAGGTATTGGTCTTCTATATTTAATTTGTTCTTTTGACACATTGCCCTCCATTGCCCAACTATTTGTTCTTTTGACACATTGCCCTCCAAGAATATTGTATAGTTGATTTACTGTTGCTTTTGTATGAATTTGCTGGTGGGACAACGGCAGGGAAATAGCAGTGTGCAAACACATTTGAAGATGAAGACAATGTTGCATTCACAATTCCCCTTGAAATAACAATCAAGAAGGAGATAATGAGGTGAAGTCCTTGGTTTGAAGGCTTAATTACTGACTCTGAACTTTTGAAAATTGTAATTTTTCCTATACTGATTTGACTACCAAACTTGAGGTAACCTTTGAAGGAGGCAGAAAACAGGGTGTGATAATGAAATGAAATGGAGGTATGGAGCTTCAGAAAGCATCAGTTGAAATCTCATAAGATTTCACAGAAGCTGCGTAATTTGATGAATCATGTTGGAAAGATGAATCATTTGAACAAACAGTAAAGTTCTGTGACTTAGTGATGTGGCTTAGAAATAACAAGGAGATGCCAGATCACAAAGAAATTATATAACATTATGTTATGTATCTTACAGTATGTAGGTATATTAATGAGATGGAATGTTTTAACTAAAAACTGAGTGATAAGCGATCATTAGCAGGGGTGAAATCAGTAGATGCAAAGACCTCCCTGCTCCCCTATATACTTGGCATTTGTCAGTCCAGTAGAACTGTCTGGAAGAGAGAGTGAAACAGGCCATTAAGACCAGTTTGTTTACTGATTTCCATCCATGACAAACCGTGCCTATTCTCACTTCGTAAATTGTATTCAGTATCTAAGTGTAGTGGAATGTTTCTACTTAGTACTCTGAACAGGCAGTCCGTAATCAGGAGCGTGTATTGTATCTGTGATGTTGATTCGGAGAAACAGATCTTGCCATGCTGAAGTGCGCATAATATTACTCCAAGTATCCTCTTGTTTTCCAATGGTGTCTGCCTTGCTTCAGGGGAGGGAAGCCCACAGCATGTTCCAAGCAGGATTAGCCTGGGTACAGCATTAAACTGGTAGATAAAGGACAGGTTGAAGCAATGGCTGTAGGCATTTAAATTGGAATTCAGCATCTCGGTTATTGCTTAATATTACGTTTGACTGCACCCATGATATTCGATTTTTCTTTTTTTGAAGTAATTTGTAGTGTGAGAATGATGTCTTAGTAAAAGAAGTATTTCCTCCTGAAAAGCCTTCAGCTATACATTTACAAAAGTTAAAACATATTGTTTATGGCTCTGGCTTAGAGGTGTTCAGATTCTGATTATCTCTTGATGCCTTCTGTCTTCAGTGCTTCTCCGTTTTACTTGGATTATAATTCCTGTTTGTTTGTAGTCTTGTTTTCCTATGAGGGAGCTTTATAACTTTAAGTACATTTAAAAATGCCAAAGTAATTGTATTACTTCTTTCAAAAGTATTCAGAGATCTAGCGCTTACTTAACTGCTTTCTTTATAATAATATCTTTTCTTTCTTCAGTTTACTTTTATATCTCATTCTTCCCCAAGCATAAATCCTATCTCATACAAACTTTCATTCTGCTAGAAATAAAACTTTTGATTTTCTGTTTGTGAAACAGTGGTTTTCACTGGTTCTCCTGAAGACGTTGTGTTCAGAAACTTTCTACCCCAAAGGTGTTAATAACAATCAGCCCTTTATCAGCTACACTATATCATATCTGCATAATGCCAACAGTGCTGAATGACTGCACATCTGCTGGCTTCAAGGTGGCCAGCTTTTGTTCTACCAGTAAATGGGAAGGAGGTGATCCAGAGGTTCACAGAACTGCTTATCATTTTAAGAATGATACAGTATTTTAAGGAGATTTTGTTATCTGATATCCTTTTTTATTTGTAATTTTAAACTTTAAATAGAATGTCATTAGATTTTCATTCCCAGGCTTTTTCTTTGCCCATCCAGTAACGTTTAGTTTGCAGTTGATTTGATTGCTAGAGAGTTAGTTAAAATGTCATGACTGAAGACACAGAACAGTAAATAAGTAGACAACTGTGCAGTTCTTCATGTACTACGTTCTGTATGGTCTTAAATCATGGAAAACTTCTGTGAAGTTCCTTGAACCATATGACCTGACCATGGGAAAATAAATACAGTGAAACTCTTTGTTATATATCTGATATTGATAGAACTGTACAATATTGTCTTATGCCTGTGTGTATGTGCTGTGGAAAGTTAGACTTGCATCTGATTCTGCTCATAAATGAAATTAATTCACCAGTTACTAACCCAAGCTCATGTAGTAATCTGCTTGGCAATATAAAAGGTGACATTTTCACCACAAAAAAGGTCAGTTTAGTTGGTACTGTATATTCACGTCGGGACTGTGACTAAAACCCTTCTTGTAAAACAGGATTAAAATTTATTGGCAGCTACGTATGGGAATAAGCCCCATGAATGAATTGTGCTTGGCTCCAAGTGTTGCTCTCACTTACCGTTTCTGGGATTTGCTTAAATTTCTTTATCTTTCAACGTGCAGTCAAGTGGTTCCACTCCCACTCTCCATTCATCCAAGACTGAATGCCTCACCTTTTAACTTGGCAATAAATTAAATAGTCAGAGATGATGATTTCAGAATCATGCTTACTTTATTAGTTTTTAAAAATATTGCTGTTAAATAAACATGCATCTTTATTACATTAATAATGGAAGTTTCAACATGCAAAGCAATTTTTTTCCTATTTTATCCTGGCAGTTTTGTGGTGTGAGTGGAGAGTTTGTGTTTGTGTGCATGCGTGTGTGTGTGGGTGGGTGTCTGTCTGTTTAATGGCAATGTGGTAGATGATATGACCCTTTCCTGCCTGAGCGTCTAGTACCTTACTATAAAATTTTTGTATATCTAAGATGATGGCAAAGTTATAGCATTCATAATATAACTAGCAATACAAAGATATAATATACTTTCCTGAATCCTGAAAATACGTTCCAGATAGCAATATAGACTTTAATTTACTTTTGTTCATTTCATTTCATAATAAAACGGGGATGATATTTCTTTACTAAGTTATTTTTTTAATTGCTGTAAGTGTGAAAGGCAAAATTACTTCAGTTAGGCAATCTGCAATTTTATTATATCACTTCGATTTGTCTTTAACATGACTGTCTCAGGATCTGAACCGTAACTTTACATTTAGTCCAATTTTATGAGTTTTGCATGGAACTAAATTTCTTGCTCTCTGTATCACTCACAGCTTATTCTCTAATATAGTTATTCATGTATTAGCAGTGCTTAAGTAAAAATAATATTTAAATATTCTTTTATTTAAGGCTTCAGAAGGAGACAAATAACAAAATGAACAATCTAGCTATTAAGAGAATAACAAATGAAATTATCAAATCACCTGAGGATAAACGAGAATATCGTGGACTGGAATTGGCAAATGGCATTAAAGCACTTCTGATCAGCGACCCCACCACAGATAAGTCTTCAGCAGCACTTGATGTACATATAGGTATTTAATACATGTTGTGTTCATTAGATCATTAATAAAAACTGCTTTAAGTTTTCCTGTTTTAATTGCATATAAACTGATGGAACTATACAGCAACAATTTGGTAACCTTTATAGTAGTAGCCAGTTCTCAGCTTGGCCTTTTACTGTATTTTAGAGTTTATTTAATTTTTTTGATGTATCTAGTAGGAAATTATTAGGGCTAATTAAATTCACTAGATGTATTCTGTGTTTACTCAAATGTAACAGTCTACAGAGAGACTTCTTTTAATCATTAAGTTTCAAGTTATGGAAGATCTTTTAGAAGCAGAAAAGGGAAGGGTATGAGTGCAGTTATTTCAGACAGCTCGCTCTGTCACGTCAGATTTATTTTCATGTTAAGTTACTGATGCGTAGGGGTAAAAAAAAAATGCTGTAGTGCTAGAGGAAGGCGGGGAGGAACCCCGTAAAGTCTCTGATGCCTATGAGTGCAAACAGAAATATTGGCAATAGAAGGGAAAGGCAGGTACTTTATCCTTTTAAAATCGCTGAAGTATTTTTCTACTTAAATAGTTTCGCAGTTGCTTTCAAAATGTGATGCACCCACATACCTTTACTTTTCTTCTTTCTTTCTTTGTAGTTGGGAGCTCTTGTTGCCCCTTGTATACGGTCAGATATAGAGTAATCTTGAAAACTTCTGGCTCCTCTTGTAGTAGAGATGACTGTTGCAAGTCATTATCTAGTTCAGAGGATCCTACCTAGTTTTGTTGGATACCACGGCAGTAACAGCCAACTGCTGTGTCCACTTCCTGCAGATGTGCTAGAAGAGCTGTCTCTGTTGCTTTCTCCTCTGCTCTCCCATTGCACATTGCTGCGCACTCCAGAGCAGGACTGCCAGACTCAAATTTCCACATTTCTGGCTTCCATTCCTACACACCATTGTCATTTTTTTAATCTCTGTGCCTTTAAACCTACTAGCTGATCACCAGTAGCTGCTTATATTCACACAATTACAGCTCATCCCTAGTCCTATAAACCACAGGATAAATACCACCTTAATTGCATCTGGCAATTGCTACCTTCTAATATGGTGCAGTTATTGAAGTCACAGTATAGAAGTCAGAACATGGTGATCTGCCAGGTCTCTACTGATTATGAGTCATGGACTTCAATTTAGAAATCTTCTCTCTATAAGCCAATGCAGGCTTATTTGGTGAGGCAATTTGAGGCACTAATTGGTTCAGTTACTCATTAAAAAATTTTTTTCTTTTTATTTTTTAGGTGAGTTTAATTGACTATAACTGCCCAAGTGTCTACTTGCAGCTACAGAATTGGTATAACTGACTGAGGCGATAAGCCATAGTATAAAACATGTTAAAAACCGTAATATTTTAACATTATTTTTTATGAATGGGTATATGAATTTTTTCCTTCTGCAGGATCCTTGTCTGATCCCCCCAACATTGCTGGGCTTAGTCACTTTTGTGAGCATATGCTGTTCTTGGGAACAAAGAAGTACCCAAAAGAGAACGAGTATAGTCAGTTTCTTAGCGAGCACGCGGGGAGCTCAAATGCTTTCACCAGCGGAGAGCACACCAACTATTACTTTGATGTGTCACATGAACATCTAGAAGGTGCACTGGACAGGTAAACACACTCTTGTTTACTTTTAATTTGTTAATATTTGTGCTGTTGGAGTTGCATAAAAGTTCTTGCTGATGGTTTTATCTCTATGATAATAAAGAAAAGATTGAGAGCACTGTGTTTAGTTAAAACTGGTACTAGATGTGGTTCAGTACAAAAAAGTTTTGCTTAGACTTTTTCAGCTGTTAGACTTCCTCATCGAGGCAGATTTTCAAAGGTTAAGGGTGCTGTTTACACTGAATATTTTTGAAAATAAAAAGTGTGCAGAATGGCACAGAATGTGATCACAAACTTTTGCATTGTACAAATATTCTGATTATATGATCAAATATTATGCTTGCCGCAGGATCCTTACATCCTCCATAGCATAAGAAGGATGAAGTCTGGAAATGAAATAGGATTCCTTTAGTAAAAGGCAGTGACTGAAATCTCTGCCTTTTGTGGGAGAGGACAGAAACTGAAAGGTGTGTAGTCAGTGAGGCAAAGCAAGAAGATTTTCTCATGGGTGAGAAATATTGTGGGAAGTCAGTTTGTTTTTTCTCCATTGCCTGTGCCATAAAATTCCGATGTATGTTTTCTGGATGTCTGACAAAAGATTGGTTTGATTTGCAAGATGAAGGATTTCTTGCAGCTAAACTTCAAAGCCATGGAAGTTTTGAATGTATGAAGTCTGATGTAAGGTTGATCCTTGTCATATCTTATATGATGAATCTGTTATTGCCTGCATTTATAGATAAAGAAATTGAGAAATAAAGATAGTGAATGCAAATCAAAACTGTTCTTGGATTAGGAATTCTGCATTTCTTTTCTTTTCTTTTTCTTTTCTTTTTTAGCAAATTAATATATTAAGCTGTTTTCACGAAGGGTTTTATGCTTCATACTTTCCTGTTAATGTTTTTTTAATGTGCTCTTGCCTTGAAAAAAATTGAAAATTTTCTGTTTAGATTTGCCCAGTTTTTCCTGTGCCCTTTGTTTGATGAGAGCTGCAAAGACAGGGAAGTGAATGCAGTTGATTCTGAGCATGAGAAGAATCTAATGAATGATGCCTGGAGGTTGTTTCAGTTGGAGAAGGCTACTGGAAACCCCAATCATCCCTTCAGTAAATTTGGAACAGGTTTGTCAGAATATAATTATCCATCCATTGGAGTTTTGTGTAATGTACGTAGTAATATTGTTTATATAAAATTGATAAAGACAGGCCTGAAACAATTTGCTTTTTTCCTCTCCACGCATGTCTGTTGTGGAGCTTTATTACGTTTTCCACATCACAGACCAAACAGAGCTGGACAAAAACATAGGAGACAGAGTGATACAAGAATTGCAGTACAGTGATGATGCACCCTTTATGGTTCTGATAATTACTGCAGTGAATGCTATTTTCCAGTGACTGGACGGAGTTGTCATAATTTGGGACTGTAAGTCTTTGTGCACAACAAAGTGAACAACCAGTGTTTGATTTGCTGTGAGCCACATGCCGTTTTGCTAACAAGTATTGCCATAAGAGAAGGTGGTGACAGGGTCAGATCAGAAAGACGAGCAAAGTAGCGTGAGGATTATCGAATGACAATATAAAAACAAAATCTGAAGCATAAAAAACAACAGCAATAGATGGCTAGGAAAATTAGTCTTGGACCAACCCTGATTTTATGGCTATGTATCTATTTTTTTTCCAGGCTTTGTTATTCGCAGAATGCTCTCTAACAATTGGAAAAAAAATAAAGCCCAATAACCTCAATTTAAAAAACATTAAAGTAAGATACCATGGTTATGAATAAAACCACAAAATTTTGACATTTTGGCAGAAGTTTAATTGGAGTTATTTTCGCTGCCATTATTTTCTGCATGAATTGCAAGTTTATTTGTGAAACTATCAAAGTGATAGGGCCATTAATTCATATGTTGTCCTGTTTCATCCTTGAAAATCAGTGTTATTTGTGGCTGGGTCAGTTAGCTGGAAGAATAGTTGGTGCAAATCCTGGGTACTGTAGGATGATGGGAGGGCAGATAATGGGCTCTAAGGCTGTCTTCTTCCTCTGTCTCAAGAATGAGAATATTTTTGCACTTGATGATGTGAGAGGCTGCTAGCCAGCAGCTGCAAGAGCCTGTGTTGGCTGTTTTCTAGTAGATAGAGGCTCTCTGAAACAGGAAAATTATAGCTGTATTCCCCACAAAGGTTAGTTCAGAAGAGATTGTTAGGAATTACATATTGATACGCAGGCAAGTATCCAAAGTACGTTTTATAATCTCAGAGGGATAGAATTTGGCCTCCCTGAATTCTTGAATAACGTTTTTGCTGTTTCCGAAGAGATTATTTTTAAGTTTCTGCGTAGCGCTCAGAAAACATCAGTTAAAGTTGCAGAAACAGTTTTCTACAATTTAGGAAGGTTTTATAGCTGGCAAAGGTGAAATCTTTTCATGAGGAGAACGCCTGAAATATGCTGGAATTCAGCAGCAATACTCAATTCTTCTTAGTTTAGTCTCTCATTGTGAATTTAAAGTATAGCATGTAGCCTTCTTGCACATCTGATTTTGCAGGACTAGAGCCTAACTTTGGCTTTTATTTACTCAGAGTTGCCAACTGCAGTACTGTTTTCATGACAAATGCGGTTGGCATTCTTCTTATTGGGTTGTTTTGTCTTGTTTTGTCTCTTGTTTTTACTTTGTTTGTTTAGGTTTTTTTGAGCAGCTGAGACATTGTTACACAGCCTAGCAGGAAT